AGTCCTTAACTTGGGTTCCTGCCTGCTATTGTTCCTCTTGCTCCTCTGGTCTTGTGCAGTTAGGTCTGTGACAGGCTGATGGCGCCTGGGACAGTCCTGGGAGTAGCTGGGGCAGGGTATTATTTGGGCTCCGCCACCTGCCACTCACTGTGCTCCTGCGAAGATGTGCATAACCTAACATTTTACCCACAGCATCTCAATTTTTTTTTTTTAATAGAGTCTCTCAACCGCCCCAAGACTTTGTTCCTTCAGAGCAGCATGCAGAGTCCTGACCTCAGGCAGAGTGGGTGCAGCAGCAACCCCAGGGACACTGCTTCAAATCTGTCCCAAAGGCATTCAAAAGACAATGACATTTTGGTTCTCTCAAAAAAACTGCAAGGAGATTAGTTTTAAATGCTAAGGGAGACAGAAAGCCTAGCTGTCCTCCGCTCTCAGCAGAGCTTCTGGATGCCAGCTATTTTTTGTACAGCAAATCTTAGGCAGAACAGAGGCATGTTCTTTTCTTCTCGTGATATACCTCATGCCAAGCACATAGTGATTTTTCACACTAGGGGAATGAGAGAAAAGACAGAGTGATGCTGCATGAAATGCACTGCTGCATGAGATGCAAACTGTTCTATCAGAGTTTATTTTGAAGAGTGAGAAGGAATAGTGCTTTGAAGAGCTATAAACAGAAACCTCAGGGCCTCTCTCACAAAGCCTCAGTATACAGATGGTCACTATACATTAATTTCCTCCAGGATTTCACTTTATGCAATTCACGACAACTTTCACATACAAAACCAACATGTAAGAAAGAAAACTCAAGAGCATGATAACCACCCTGCTGCAAGAGCTGCCCTCATGGACTTCTGAGTACACGAGTACTGGAAGAACAATCTAATAAAAATGCATGATACCTTAACATATCGTATAGGCAAAAACATAGCGGTGAAGAAAGACCATATATAAGACCACAGAAGAAGCTTATTATTTATAAACTAATGAAATAACCAGAGAACCTACAAAACCAATATACAGAAGTGTGTGACTAGCAAAGAAAAGTGGAATTTCCTTTAAATGGGAAGAATGGAAAGAAGAAATACAGCCCAGGAAGCAAGAGAGCAGCACAGCAGACCTGCTCTTTTACAGAAGGCAGATAAGAAATACAAATGATGGAGAAGGGCACTAGAGGTCAGTGTGCCTCTACTCCTGGGCCACATTAGAAAAGACAAGAGCACATCATTCAAAACTTAAGAGCTTAGGGAAATTCCTCCTCTTTGTACACAAGACACTGGCCCCAAAACACTTGGCTTGCTAGCACAATATGTTTTCTGGAGAAAGATTTTCTTAACCTCTAGAGAATTCATTGTGAGACAACAGGAAGATTACTTTTCTCCCCCCTAAAAAAAAAAAAAACAAAAAAACATTCTGACCTAAACAATCTGAACAATCTGAACAAATTATATCATTTTCTGAATGTTTTAAATTGCTCACAGTTGAGCACTGCTCACATTGCACACTAATGAGTGTTCTGCAAGGTAATGCAGCACCTTAATGCTCTGGCATTTTCTTCAACTCTTAAAAAAAGAATCTTATGCAACGTGAAATAAGGTACTTACAGCTCTGACATGCTTGCCAAGATTATCTCCTTCCAAGAGAGACATTACGTAAGAGAACATACTTAATGCATAAAGGGCAACTGCTCACTCTATTATTGCTTTCAAGTGTACCTTTAGCAGCTACAGTATCTCTAGATGAGACACCAAAAATCTTGAGGAAAGACATCAAAGAACAAATCCAACCAACACCTGATTATCAGGAAATACAGCCATGAATATAGAAGTAGTTTATTGCAACATACTTACAACTTAGCAGAACAAAGCATTTGCTTTTTATATTTTGCTATCACGTTCACCTGGCAAGATTTACATAAGTTAACTCAATAGATACCTGGAGGTGTGTACGTTTCTACTGAAGAGTGCACAAGAACAGACCGTCTTTTTGAAGGCATGGGCATTTTTCTCTCTTTGTATTTTGCAAGTGCTGCTTGTACTGCTTCAGAGTGGACATCTATATAGAAAACAAAAAAAACGTTAAGAGATTAAGCTTAATCATTATTTCCTTCTAAAAACATAGAAAGCATCGATGCCATCTTTTACAGCTCAAATCCAAAGACTGAATCGCACATGATGGCCCTTACGGCTTTAGTCCTGTTTAGCCCAATTGCTTAGCTTGCAGAAAGGAACAGGTTCTCAGTTTCAGAGGAAGCAGCACTTCTTGGAGAGCAGAAAGGACAAAGCTGAACTACAGTAACATGGTTTTCAATTCTGAAGCTGTGACAAATTATTGTGGTTTAACCTGGCAGGCAGCCAAACACCACACAGCCGCTCACTCCCTCCCCTCCCCTCTGCCCCACACACTGGGATGGGGGAGAGCATTGGGAAAAAAAAAAAAGTAAAATTCGTGGATTGAGATTAAGAGTTTAATAGAACAGAAAAGGAAGGGAAAATAATAATAATAATACTAGAATATGAGTGATGCACAATGCAATTGCTCACCACCCGTCGAGCAATGCCCAAACAGTGATCGCTACTTCCTGGACCATGCCTCTTATTTACATACTGAGCATGACATCATATGGTATGGAATACCCCAATGGCCAGTTGGGCTACCTGTCCTGGTTATGCTCCCTCCCAGCTTCTTGTGCACCTGGCCGAGCATGGGAAGCTGAGAAGTCCTTGACTAGCAGGGTACTCAGCAACAACTAAAAACTTCAGTGTGTTATCAACATTCTTCTCATCCTAAATCCAAAACACAGCACTAGGAAGAAATTTAACTCTATCCCAGCCGAAACC